GTTGTAACAATTGTTGTACAACTGATGATGAATGCTCCACTGACTATAAAAGACGTATCGATGTGGTTCTTACTCAAGCATTCCTCACTCATTTTCTTTGCCATGCTTCCTGTCTTTCAGTGTTCTGAGCTTTTCTGCTTCAGTTGGAAAGCATCGCTTTACACGAGTTAGCATGAACCCTCCAAAGTCCCTCCCAAGTTCCCCACGAAATCATGTCTCAACCTCTGGATGGAAAAAAATGGAGCTGTTCCGATGTTCCTTGCGCTCCCAGTTCTGGACCGGTGAAGCTAGAAAGCCAGGGGGACGCTGTTGGAACCTGCCCAATGGAAACATGTTATACTCTTGAAAACTCCACTAAGATCATTTTCAGTGGGTACGAACCCGAGGCGGAGGTGGTGTAGTGACAAGTGGCGCGCTTACCACTCGCGCGGCGCCGGGTTCGAATCCCGGGTCGACACCCGCCCAGGCCAACCAAGCCTTCTACCCTCCGGGGACGGTAAATTGGTACCAGATTCGTCTGGGAGGATAAAACACTGACTTGTACATCGGCTGGCCCCGCAAGTCATTGTATAGGCCACATCGCATTCAATAAGCCACTACGATTCTGAATGGAAGTAGAATGCGTGCCGCATCCCACAAAGGGATTGATCAACGGCGAAGACTTTATCCTTTATCCTTTTTTATACGAACCCGTTATTAGATCCATTCGTGTGTACACCTCTAAAGAGCAAGTAAATATTATGGCTAAAATGACATGGCGCTCAGACTCATGACTCAGTCATACACTGATTCCGTGAACACTAGGCAGATGCGGGTGAATTGGTAAAGATAGTGGTGAACACGTCGTACAGTTGTCATCCGGGCAGTTGATTAGGGGGTCAAAGGGTCGCAGACGCGGCTCCGGCGCGTTCAGCGACCAGCTGTCTCAAGCCCATTTAGCCCTTGTCTCCCTGTCACTGCTGCAGGCTGCTTTTTTTGGTTAGTTGTTCCGTGTCTTCACAAGGTAAACATGATTGAGATTTCTCTAATTTTTGCGAACAATTGAATAATTAAACAAACAGTAACAAATACCTAAAAAACAGCAGAAACACATCATTACAAACAAAAGGAATCCACGTCCTAATACACTTTATAAAGATAAAGAGCAACTAAAATAAATGATTCTTCATTGTATTATTTATTTTTTCCAAGTTAGTTGTTCTTTGTCTAGGAAGAAAATGGCTAAATAGGCTGGAAACAGCTGATCGCCGCGGTCGTGACGCGCCGCAGCCGCGTCTGCGACCCTTTGACCGCCTAATCAGCTGCCCGGATGACGACTGTATTCTGCGGGAGCAGCGCTGGCGCTTGGATCGTGGTCTAGAACTTCGCCTTGGCCCGCCATTCATCTGAAGCGCATACCCACGGATCAACATCGATTTTTCCATCCGATAAGAGTACAACCACAGGTGACGCTCAACGTGATATCCTGCCTCTACATCAATGGGTTCCACTTTTCAGAGTGCCAAAGGGGGATATGACAAGAGAATCGTAAGTTGCCGTTCTGGCCGGCTTGGCGAGCGACGCCATGCCGCGAGGGACGAGTCTCCTCGCCTAGCCATCCGAATTTGAATTTTAAAGGGGCAGGCGGCCGCTGTTAAGGGTTCTGCTGAGGTTCTTCATGCGTTCATATTTCGCACAACTCAAGGTGTAGGAAATGGCTAAAAATAAGTCAAAAATTCTGCTAAATATGGAAAGAAAAAATATGCAATGAACCCGCAAATCTTGCTGCTGCAGTGGAAAAACTGGCGCACCGTTTGGTTTTTCCGCGCCCATCGCTGCATGACGCCACTTCGTAAATTTCTCGCACCCTTCACCGGACGGTGCGCTGCGCTCGACGGTGCGGATTACGATTCTCTTGTCCGTCTGCCGGCTAAGAAGAAGTTGCACTAACGATGAAAGAATGGTAATGACACGTCTCCGTCCATACAATCGCAGAAGCGCATACGCCTTAATATCTAGCCGGCTTCTCTGAAGAAACATCACCCTTTTGTGAACGCACAGCAGCCTCAGGTATAGTACTGATCACGCTCTACCGATTGGGCCTAAACGGGAGGGAATGCGTGTTAAGACGCAGTCACGAGAGCTCTCCCTCCAGCTGATGCCATTCTGAGCCGGCAACAACTACTGGAAAAGCAACCTCCACTCCTCGTTTGCAGGGATAAGGGCTGTGTTTAGACCGTTCTATGTGATCTCCTTTTTTGTAAAGGACTTCCCAGCTGTTCCAATTGTGGTCCTTTGATTTTCGAATCCCTCTCGCGGGCGCCACCAAAGCCCTTCTCCTTGTCTCTCTTACGTGTCCGATTGGCTCTCTTACGATGAGAGACATCATCTTCATAACATTCTTTCTTTCCACCAAGACGATTCGATGTAGATTGGTGGTCCAGAGGAATGGGCTGACTGAATTCTGCGAATGTCTTATGAATCCGGGCACCGTTGGGTCAGAATCAACATCGAATCGCGCGACGCCCACGACCTTGGCGATTGCCAGTCTTCAATCGTGCGGGATTCCAAATCTCTCTCTCCACCTATATGGAGCGAGAAATCCGCTTATCAGTCTTCCGATGGCACGTTGAATGATGAAGGACCCTAACTACCGAACAAAATAATTAGATTGATAGCTAATTTTATTCCAGGGAAATGTACTCGAACTCGTCAGTTCTCGTTTTACTTCATTTATTGTGCGCGTGTTCCGCATATATTGTAAGTGTATTTAGTTCTCATAACAAAAGATCCATAGCTATACATGTGTATGACTAGGACGTTTCCATGAAAAGGTGTAACTGATGTTATAGCAATCAGTCGGGAGGGAGGGGGTGTCGGGAGGCATGGAATGAGCCCACCCGCGGCGTTTTCTATTCCTAACTGTTTCTTTCCAATTTGGACAACTTTTGGTAGGAAAGGCAGCCAGATGTGTGCTCACTCCCCTCCTTCTGGCACCTGCACAGCCGATCGCGACGAGATCAGGTCTAAGGAGGTGATGTGGATTTCAAAGTATTATAATATGAAAGATATCTGGGTGACGAACTCACTATGCTTCTGAAGAGATCCAAGCTCGACGCCATGACAGAGCTAAATTGACCACTGTGTCTAATTGGCGCCATATTCTTAATGGTCCACAGGTGTGGAGCACAGTCAAGAAAGCGCAAGGTTAGGCCTGGTCCTGCCCATACGACAAGTGTGGAAACCACTTTCAAGAATTCTAACGAGCTCTGATGAACTTGCTCGCGAAGTTGTTCAGGGTAATTCGTGTGGCGGTTGCTTGCAATCCTGTTATGCCGGTTGTGGATCGGGTAGCTGTAATTGTCAGCAAACGTGCAGTAACGCCTGCGGAGGATTCCGCTGGGGCGGCTACGGCGGCTACGTGAGTTCCAGGAAGCGCCATAATCTAAAAGGTGAAGCACTATGTTTATAGTTTAGCAGTCTTCGTGCGGTCGTTGTCTACAGTCCTGTTATGCTGGTTGTGGATCAAGTAGCTGTAACTGCCAACAAACCTGCGGTGGCGTCTGTGGAGGCGGTTTCGTAAGTTCTTGTGGTAATTGCAAGAAGTCAAGGAGGTTCATGGATAACCGAATATGAATTTCTCTACTGAAAAGCACATTTTAGACCCCCCCCCTCCTCCCTGTTCCCCACGATACCCACCCACCTACCCAGATTTTCCCAACTTCTACCACTTCTTCCAATCTTCCGGAAGTTCCCGAAGATTTACTAGTTCTCTACTAGAATTTTGCTGTCAGCGAGGGGAGGGGAGTGGATGTCGCCAGCAAACATCTAGCTTGTTTCGAACTATCAAAGTCGTAGTTTAATAGAAAGTTTACGCCACCAGGACGAGTGTTATAGCCACATGCGAAAGGGAAAACGGGAAAAACGCGAAAGGTTAACACTGGGAAAATTTTTTTCCTAACGAATTTCTCTCAAAGGCTTCAATACTATCTATCCCCCCCTTACAGCGTCCATGAAACAAGAAAAATCAAGCTTCCCGAAAAATTTTCTAACTTAAGTCCAACTTAGATCGCTGGTTAATTCCCAACGTACTATACGCGACCCCGCATGGTTTGGGGGTGGGGTGGGGACGAAAAAGTGAACAGCTGGGAAACATTCTTTTGGGCACGGAAAAAATTGTCGTAAGGACACATAGGACACCTCTCTAGAAACGGCGACCAGATACGACCCCCTCCCCGATAGAAGTCTCCGACGGGCTTTCTGCTGTGAAACACAAAAAGAATCAGCTATCAAAAAATTCAACCTTAGTACGACTCCCTTCCCTCCGGCCGATCAAATGCGCGAACCCGCTGGGCTTTCCACAGAGTTCGTCGTTCCTTTTTTGCAGGCGGCCTCTCGTTATTGTGGCTTACATCAGAAATCGAAGTTTCGTCTGAGCCACATAAAGTAGATACAAAATTGGGATACGATTTTTAGCGAATATTTACATAAGAGGTTCGCCTTAAGGCAAAGCCCGCGACCACAGATTGTGGGTAACGGAACCCACATAGGAACGAAAAAGGGCTAGGTATCTGAGTAGCGGAGAAAAGCAGCAGAAAAACAGCCGAAAATGCCTAAATAGGATTCCATATCGACCCCAACTTGTACATGCATGCAATGAAGAAAACGCATGTTTGTACGAATTTCCACTCGTCGTTATCATAAAGATATCAGCTCTTTTATCTTATCACCTCACTCTCACCATTCGGAATGGAGAGAGATAGCATAGTGGCTACTAGCTAGTAGCTAGCAGCCGGTGGGGGTCGGCATGGGCCTAAGGGGCGCCCTTGGGCCTAATTGGTTAGCTTGAAGCGAATTCTTGCGGATTTTCACTTTCTAAAGGTAGCGCAGCCTCGCAATCTCCTCCGAATGTCTGCCACACATTTTAAAGGTCAATAGCTTAATTTGTATCGCCGGAAAGTCGCTTGAAATCAGTGCCGTGCCGAATATTGTGCTAGATTTCAAAATTCAAAGCTTTTGACATGTTTAGCAGTCTTCATGCGGCGGTTGTCTACAGTCATGCTACGCCGGCTGTAGTTCTGGCAACTGTAACTGCCAACAAACTTGCGGAGGCGTCTGTGGAACCGCAGCTGTGGGAGCCTATGTAAGTGTTTAAACTGAATGATAACCACTTGGAAAATGATTTTGATTGGTTTTACAGTCTTCATGCGGCGGTTGTCTGCAGTCATGCTACGCTGGTTGTAATTCAGGCAACTGCAACTGTCAACAAACTTGCGGTGGAGTATGCGGAGGGGTTTCTGTAGGGGCTTATGTAAGTGTTCGAGATAAATATTTACCAGTAGCAAAGCATAATAACTATTGGTTCTGTAGTCTTCATGCGGCGGTTGTCTACAATCTTGTTATGCCGGCTGTGGCTCAGCCAATTGCAACTGCCAGCAGACGTGCGGTAATGTTTGCGGAGGTGTCTCTGTGGGAGCTTACGTAAGTCCAGGACGTAAATGTAGTCGAACAGGAAAAAGATTTTGGTTTCTTCTCAGACTTCATGCAATACTTGCCTGCAGTCATGTTACGGAAGCTGTACCTCAGGCAACTGCAACTGCCAACAAACCTGCGGTGGCGCTTGCGGTGGTGTAGCTATGGGAACTCCCGTGAGTGCTTGAATCAGATATTGCTTCTAGAAAATTCACTGATGTGCAGGTGTAATTGTTTTGTCAGTGAGCCTCCCCCCCCCCCACTTTCTTTGCACGGCGAGTATCCCTTATTCAGAAGAACGCAACTTTTCTTGGAGGCGCGGTATTTGTGAAAAGGAGAACCGGGAGAACAGCAAGCAGTTCTGCTGGTTGGAACCGTTGAAGCAGTAAGACGCCCTAATAGCTACAATAATGCTGCTAGAACTAACTAGTGAGGGGGAAAGCTACGCCCTTCTACCCATCTAGGCTCAATAACTTGAGAGGATGAACCCATACTTTGCGGCAGCGTTCACCAGCGACCAGTAGCGTCCACAGCGTTCCGAGCGTCCGGCAGCGTCTCGAGGGCTAGGGAAGTATGGATATCGATCTAGCGTCTGCCAGCGTCTACCAGCGACTAGCAGCGTCCGGGAGTGGAGAGTATGGAGTGATAGGGGGGGGGGGGTAGCAGACTGCTAGTAGAATAGGGGAGATAGGAGGGTCACAGGATGCTGGTAGAAAGTATGACGCGACGGGCGGGTAGCACGAGGCTAGTACCTTTCTATCACTTCATACTCTCTACCAACAGTCTGCTGCCGGTTGCAAGTGGACCTCGGTGGAGACTGACAGGCGCTAGATTGATACCTATGCTTCCCTAGCTTTCGAGGTGCTGCTGGCGGACTCTGGTAGATGCTATTTCGATATCTGTACTTTTCCAGTCGCTGACGTCGGACTTAGGCTGCTGCAAAGTATGAACGCAGCTTAAGATTCGGATTTTCGTCTCAACTCGACTTTATTTTTGTACCTACTTAACATTGGCAAAATTGAACCCTAGAATGTTGTGTTCTTTTGCAAATCCGCAAGACCTCATGGGTAGGCAGGGTTCGGTTCCTTACATATGATTTTCGATTGAATTTAATTGCTTTGCAGACATGCAGCGGTTGCCTACAATCGTGCTACGCCGGTTGTGTATCAGGAAACTGCAACTGTCAGCAGACGTGCGGAAGTGCGTGTGGAGGCTTCAGCATGGGCGGCTATGGTGGTTACGTATGTGTTTCAAAATTTATGTGAAATTACTAGTTAACTGTTTCGTTCCCATTTTCGCATAGACACGATCCGCCATTAGCTGAGAAGTCTCCCTCCCTCTGAGAGCCAGTATCCTTGTCCTCAGAGGCAGCGGTTGCACGCCTTTAGCGAGCAGGAGCGAGGGCAGGGGTGCCCATGCCGCCGTCCTCTCACTGGCCCAACCTTTTTCAGTGGCTCCACTCCCCGCTCTGAGTACGGGTACAGGGAGCCATCACGAGCGAAGACTCGTCATGGAACGTAGCCGGGGATCAAGTTCAGCGGCCACAACACCAGTGGTCAGCTAACTCGCCCAGCAACGCGCACTCTTCGCTTTTATGTCGTGCAGAATTGCTTTGAAAGGAGCCTGATTCCGAGCGTCTACGACGCTTTTTTGGACTTCTTTTCCCTTCCCTATGGAGATTCGTGGTACGCTGGCATCCTTATTCCTACTCCCTTACTCGCAATAACTGGTCTCTGCCTTCAAGGTACAGCTCTGCCTTTGGGGTACATCTGCGCTGACCGAATGCGCGAGACACCAAACTGTGCCTAACCCATTGGGCTCTCCTTTCCATCATAGAGAAGGACGCACAAAGAAGTGGAACATAATGGCGCACTAATGAATGAAACGTAATGGCTGGGTGACTCCGCCCATATGACCGGCGTGGGCAGCGTGTTTAGGATGCTTCCTGTCATTCAAAGAGTCTAAAGTTTCCAAGCTGCGATCGCGACGTCAGTTCATCGTGCTGTTTCCATTGTACTTTTCAGTCTTCATGTGGCGGCTGTCTACAGTCATGCTACGCTGGCTGTAGTTCTGGCAACTGTAACTGCCAACAAACTTGCGGAGGCGTCTGTGGAACCGCAGCTGTGGGAGCCTATGTAAGTGTTTAAACTGAATGATAACCACTTGGAAAATGATTTTGATTGGTTTTACAGTCTTCATGCGGCAGTTGCCTACAATCATGTTACGCCGGTTGTGGATCCGGTAGCTGTAACTGTCAGCAGACCTGCGGTAATGTATGCGGAGGTGCTCGTTACTCTGTGAGTCCTACAAGTTTGCTTCAGAAGTCAAAGTCATCTACGGTATTCGTAATTCCAAATAATGATATTCCACATCAGACCTGTTCATAGTCCGTCGAAAATGGGTAAACATTTAACATCGCATCAGTCAGTCGCGGGCGGTAATGGGAGGCCGCGTGTTCTACCGCTGCTGGTATTTTCCTGAATCAATCTTTCATCGATCGTATTCCTAGGAAACGCCGCTGTAAGCGAGCTGAATCCACCCCCCCCCTGGCACTGTCCCGACTGAGTGCCAGGACATCGAATGTAAATAGCTCGTAAAATAATCGCGCTGATAATCCGGTCCTGCTTTTCCATTTCTTTTCCATTTTCCCTCTAAAGAGCGCAGAAATCTCCTTCCATGGCCAGTCGTACATGGGAAAATCCTCGAATCCTCAATAGCATCACTCTTGCTTTGTGGGAGAGGTCTGGGTGGGGAGAGGGGATAAACAGAGAGACATTTCCTTGAAGCCATGCTTGACTTTTCCCCACCTGCTTCTTGAGAAATGTTCGGGAAAAGTGCCTAAATCGGCAACACCAATTAATTTAAAGCTGAGGACAAAACATTTGCCCCCAGGAGGGACTCGAACTCGCTCCTCCGGAATTCCGGCCCTATCCTTTACGCCACCAGGACCACCCCTCAGCTCGAAGGTTTTTTTGTGATAGCGTTACAGCTGGAGCGCGAACTGCAGCGTTAAATCGCAGTCATCATATCAAGAGCTTTTCGAAAGCCAGAAAGAATCATTGCGGTGATAGAGACATAAATGAGCCCTGAAGAGCAAACAGTATAGTATAGTATACTTGTTCATCAATCACCCCCCTCCCTCCTTTGGGATGCGGCACGCATTCTACTTCCATTCAGAATCGTAGTGGCTTATTGAATGCGATGTGGCCTATACAATGACTTGCGGGGGCCAGCCGATGTACAAGTCAGTGTTCATATTCTCCCAAACGAATCTGGTACCAATTACTCCATTCTTAGCGAGTACGGCTTCTAGTTAGTTTTGCATGTAGTATAACTTGTTTTGTAGCTATACCTGAAAAAAGGTTAGGGCAGCTAATCTCATCTATTGGGCACGGATTTCGATGCAGACAAGGTTAACGACGTACATGCATCGTGGGTTGATGTTCTCTAAGCAACTAAAAGAGAACATTCGAGTAGAAATTACTTAAATCAGTGGAAAAGGATCACAAAAGAAAGAGCGTGCAGTGCATGAAGTCCTGCCAAACAATGAGAAGTGTCAGGCTGTCCCACCAGGAGCGTCTTATCAATGCACCTGCATGGGAACATGTCAAAACAACCTTGGCTGACTTTTTGTGAGCAACGATGCCAAGCTTTCTTTGCACGTACTTTCCAAACAATCCATCAGATCGCCAGTATTAACATTTTTTGTGACATATTCAACTTGGATCTTGAATTGACCACTTGCAGATGCCTTGTATGACATCAGTCGGTGGATGCGCGTGTTCCATGGGCTACAGCTCGTGCGGAGGTGGAATGTGCTGCCGCAACTAAAAAGCTGTTATGAATCTTTCATAAAGCTGATTCACACTCACAAGAAGTGCTATTCTTAGTTGATGTTTCCTTTCGTTGGTGATGATGTTATTGGCTTTAATTCAATTAAACTTCGTCAGTTACCGCTATACTGTAGTGAATTACGTGAAGTTATCCATCGAAGCTACAGATCGATCCCTTGGCGACGTTAGCATTCGCCTTGAAGGCAGGTGGCACGATAATTCCCAGAGACGTGTAGGATTAACGCACACAGCAGCAAAGAATTCGGAGCCCCTAAGCTCGCGTGGCGCTTTTCCAAGAAAGGCACCGTGAGAGCGTCTTACCCCGTTGCAAAGTAGCTACCCGAACGCCCGCTGCGCCAAATGGACGACAATACCTCATGCTCGTATGGCTTCATTTGCGAAGCTATGAAGGGAGTGGGCTGATGAAGCGGCTGTGGTGCTGCATGGATATATGAGTACATACATGCAGCCGTATCTACCGTAGCGTTATTGGCACGATGCCAACGGGAAACTCTGTCCTAAAATTGCTTTCTTAGTCGTGTAGATTAGAGGCTTTTTTTGCAGTTTTCAACCGTTTCATTTCGTTTTTTTCCCATTTTTCCCACTAAATGTTATCCTTGCTATCATTTCGAAGCTAGTCTAATTTATTGTGCTCAGTGCCTTCAAAGGCAGTGGACTCGATGGCTGGGGGGTGAGCGCTTACTACCAACCTCATTGGTGGAAGGGCTGAGAGGGTTCTGGCCGTACGCGCTTTCTTAGCGCTTCCACCAATGACGTTGGTAGTAACCGCCCGCCCCCAGCCATCGTGCCCACTGCGATGAAGTGCACATTCAGCAGTCAGCTGGTAAAACACCTTGAATAAGAGCTCCCTTTTTCCATAGCAGCCATGTTCCTTGCCAGGTTAATTTGACTCTCAAGGAACAACATTATATGTTCAATTCCAATTCGAATGACGTTGAAAAAGCATATGATGAGCAAATACTGTTCGGAGCTTCTATTAAATTCCTATGGAGCTTTCATCACATTTTCCATAAAGCACCGACTGGAAATTACATCTACCCTAATTGCTCTGACTCAGTACATATGAGGGTGGCGTCAGCTTGATGCTCCAATGAATTCTCCTTCAGTTGCCCACATGTCGTTTCTGTGTCACCTTGCTTTTTCAAGACACCATGTGGAGCTCATAAGTATCTAAACTTTTTGTAGGGGAAAGTAGTGTGGACCGGCATCAAGGGGCAAGGTTTCTTAAGTGACACCAACAAAATGTGAGGGACTTTGCCTGAGACAGATACCTATTGTCTTACTCGATTGAAGTGACTTTTTTTGCCCCCCCCATCCCTGTAAAAAAATTAGCCCTACGACTATAGATAACTAGCGTACTAAGCCAATACAGAGCACAAAAGGTAAAAAACGATAAAAAAACTGATTCAGTTACCCACGTAGTCTTTATAGCTACTCTTATGTGTATTCTATGAAACTTGAAAAAAGCCGAGATTCGAAGTGCCTGTCAAGGTGCACAATGCGCAGGTCCCGCGGCGAAACTAGGCTAGTGCAGTTCTTTCAAGAATTGTTCCCAGCACAGTGGCTTGTCGGAGCCACTGTGTTGGGAACAATTCCATGGTTATGGCCGGGGCTATGGCGGGGTTACAACTCGTTTACCATCAACTAGAACTGAATAGTTAAGCAATTAGGGGCACTGTTTCGCAACTGACCCTACCGTGGCGATAAACTTCAGTCTTTGATTCTCCTTCTAAATGAAGGCAGACCGCGATACCAAGCGAAAATTTTAAGGATAGCGGGTTAGAAAGATAAGTGTATGTGCCGGTTGAGTTGGTGGGAAGAAATGGCAGATGATACTGTTTGAGGGCTCCAAATGAGGCCCTAGTTGTGCCCAGCGAATTGATGTGGATTCGAGAATGGAGGCCAGACAAGAGCAGCGAGAGAGCTTTCAAACAGTATCATCTG